GGTAAACTGAGGTAGACGATGGGCAGCAGCATCTTTCTGATAACAGCAAAAATGACACATGAGCAATGACACTAATAAACGGCCCCCAGTCCCCGGCGGCCCCGCTATTCCTGGCTACGGTGGCGACCATGGTAACGGCGGGGCAGGGGGTGCTAAGAATCTCCGGTCGAGGTTCGGTTGCTACCTACGACGACTTGATCTGGTAACCTACAATACTGGACTGACGAGAAAATCTTGGAGCTGGAAGAAGAAATAGACAAGTTGCGCTGGAATATTAAAGGATTATCTGAAGTCCGAAGAGAGGGGGACGATACAGTAATCCTTGAATTCGGAAAATTGTTCTATCACCGGGAGGGCTACTATGTGTCCCAAGGAGTTATCGGATGTATCGTCCACAAGTCTCTCGTTAACAACGTTGTAAAGATTGGGAGTGTGTCGACGACGGTTGCGTACATAATACGCAGAATCACCAAATGATATTCGCTGAAGATTATACAGGTTTAGACACCAACCTCGGCACATCCCGATGAGGAGGTGGAAGAAACGTATAAGGATATCTCTAGAGCCATGTATCCTTCCGAAACCCAATATACGGTGTTAATGGGAGACTTTAACGCAAAACTAGGCACAAGAAAGAACGGTGAGCTGAAAGTAGGGAAATTAGGAATAGGTAATAACTAAAATAGGAAAACAAAGGAACCCAAAAGGTCAGCAGCTGGCCAAATTCTTGGAGAAACAGGGACTCTTTATGATGAACTCTTTCTTCCAGAAGCGGCCACACAGGAAGTGGACCTGGTCGAGACCCGACGGTTCGACAAAAAATGAGATTGACTTCATTATGACGACCAGACGACAACTGTTCAGTGATGTCTCAGTGATCGCGAGGGTGAAAACTGGTAGCGATCACCGAATGGTTAGAGGCACACTGAACTTAAATGTTAAGTTTGAGATGTGTCCTCTAATGAAGTCGACATTCCGTCCGCCTCGTGCTCTAATCCAAAGTCCCGAAACCATTCAGCTAGAGTTACATAACCGTCTTCAGAGCCCCGAAGATTACAATGCAGTGGATGATAAAGATGACATATAACACCCGAGTAACTAAACTTCGAATAATTTTACTCTTTAGTCTTACTTTCAGATAACTTCGTTTGCGTTTTCCCAACACAAACGTGGAGTAGCCCATACTGAGTATTGTTACTCTATGGTTTGTAAATCAATAACAAAGGCAATATTTGATAATAAACTGATGTCGGAGACTTTGTTAACAGATATGGGTAGAAAAGAACATCGATAAGTATTATAGACAAGGAACCCTATTGAATTTTATTGTCCATCAAAACTCAGTAATATGAAGCCAAAAATGATGGTAATTACGATATTAAGATAAGTAATAAATTTTTGAGTAACTATATTATCAATCAGTAATTTCTTTTAAATATTAGCTGTAAATTCACAGTGGTGGAATGCTATCTCACTTTCCTTTTGGTAATGATTTTTACAAATTACGCACACTCTCATTATTATTAAAAATAATTCTTATTATATAATTAAACATACTTTCATTTTTTCGTTAAATACTTTAAAATATAGAGATACGATTTAAACAACACAACAGACTGGCATATTATGTCAACTTTAGTTCCCGGTACGAATAATGATGGCGCTTCAAATCGGCACAAACATTTTGCAGGGTATAGCCAGTCCAGCGTACTTGTTTATATAGAGGTCAATAACAAAAAAGGGCAAAAGGCAATTAAACAGTTGTTACGAACGGTGGTAATTCAGCGTTAACGTACTGATCTACATTGTATAAACATAACCATAGACAAATTGTTCAGTGAATTAATAATAGTTTTAACGACATTTGATTTTAATAACTGAATCGATACTTTAAACAAACACGAAACATCTAAATGTAATGAATGCAAAAATAAACAAATCAAGAAATACCAAAAATTTACGAACAATTTAAATATCACACACTCATATCAACCTCGGTACGGAACGCAACCGTTGATCAATACAATACCAATAAATGAACAATAAACGATGCACGGTTTATATTCTGTCAAAGCAAGACACTAGACGAAGCTACAATAAAGGTATTATCGAAGGGTACGATACGGAAGGAAGGTTTGGAGACCATATGTCAAGACACGTCTAAATAATTAAAATTGATTTATATTTTATAAATAAAATATTAATTTTAATTATAATAGCTTTTTACAATAACCAGGTTTTTATAGTATCAGCTAAATAGTTGTAAAGCCTTATAGCCATGTAGTAAGAACAGATTTTAAATAATATGGGATTTGTGGCTGGAGCCATCAGATTGTAACTACAGTGACTATTGCACAGTATTGACTGGCTCTATCTCAAATTCTAATGTATAAATAATGAGGATTTTCCTAAGAAAGCGGCATAATTAAAAAATGTACATGCACGTTGCAGTTAATAAATAATATCTAGGAAATAACCTTCATGAATCTCTTGGAGCTACGAATGTTATGACTCTGGGGGAACATTTTTGAAGCACGGATACCGCGTGTACCTTGGTAGAGCTGCCCTAAAATATGATACCGTATCTTATTCAGGTAGCGGCGTGGCCGTTGTACGCTTGAAGCGCTCAATGCTCGTTTGTTTCCTTACTTAGCTCTCGCAGAGCATATCAAAATCTGCTCAACTTACTCACTACGCTCTCTTTAATCTACTCAACTTACTCAATATGATCTCAATATTTCTCTCAGAAAATTGAGTTCATTGTTATCCCGAGGAGCGAAGATGTGCGTGCTACCTCAATATTTATACACTGGTGAGATATAGCGGGTGGTACTTCAGGTCTCTGATTTGGGCCAAACTGCATTACTTTGGTCTTTTCAAAATTTAATACTTAACCTAATACCTCTAATTCGACGACAATATTTCTAAGACATTGGACTAGTTTCCCTGCAAACTACTGAGTTTTATTTATGTTCAAATATATTTAGCACTTAGTGTTACTGTTGTAATGGACGAGTTTATTTCATGTATTACTTTGATATTTTCATTTAAATGATATACCTATATATACTGTTTTATATTCGCAAGATTAGAACGTTCGTGCAGTTTCCCTCGTAAACCTAGCGAATTTAGGTTTTCTAGCAAGTGGCCATGCAAACGGCGATCGTATGCTTTGGACATGTTCATAAAAATAGCTGTACTATAGCTATTTTCCTTCATTTATAATATTTAGAATTTCTACGATGCAGTCAAATACAGCGCATGTGATAGAATAATCTTTTCGAGAGCCATGCTGATATCCATTAAAAATGCTGTATTTAAAAAAAAAAACTGCATATTATACTACAAATTATTCTCCCAAAGTTATTTGAAATTACTAATAGTATAATATGATAAGTCGATAATTACATAAATTGCTTTTATCGTCTTTTCTAAAACTAGGTATTATCACGTTTAAAACAGGTTCAAACAGGTTTTCTTAGATTGTAATTAAAATTTTCATTCCTGTAGGCTAAGTTGATTTTTTCATCGTTTTAAAACATGGCCTTGGTGGAATAAGATAACTCATTTCGCCATTTTATTCTAAAGGTGTAGAAAGAATTTAGAAATGCCAGAAAAATCTAATTTCTTCCGAGAGATGATGATCCATATCGTTTAACACAGACATAATATTCGGCGACGGTGCAAAGGTGGGAGACGTCTGATACTCCTAAAAACTATAAACGAAAATTCTTCCTATAACTGGAGGTGCTGCTGATGATGACGATGATGATGAAGATTCAAAATATGTCTACGGAAGATCTACATACATTTTTGGTAGAGCCATGCTGCAGCTATATTAGTAGTATAGTTGTAGCACGAATGGGTGGGCTCGACCGGGGAAGGACCACGCTCTTACAGAATACCAGTGTAAAATAGCAGCCTAACACTGCTGTGTTTCGTATTGAGAGTTTAGTGAACCGGAGACCCTTTTTACTGAAAAAGAGGCATTACATCTTAGTCCTCACGGGTCACCCGTAGGTGACTACCCGTGAGGACTAAGATGTGACCTGAATTTTGATTCTTTATCGAGGATAGATGTAGATGTCTATGGGTCAAAACAAACACTTACCATCACGTGGGCTGTGTTGCCACCAATCCTATAAAAAAACATACCATCATATTTTTTACACATTTCACGTAGTAGAGACACTGCATGTTATAGCTAGACTAGAATTTACTGATCAGGGGTTTAAGAGTATCTGTACTCTGATGCTTAATTGACGATAGTCATTATGGCAGAATCCCCGGAGGACTTTAGCAGTATGCTCAACAACCACGAATTCTGAAAATTGGTAGATTTTACGATTAAAATTGGACACGACAAAAATCATGTCTAACTTCCATATTATAGCTAAACCGTTAATTGTCCTTGGACGACATCCGATTGGTAAGTTCAACTTCGACCAAGAGGTCAGGTGTCCGATATATCTCAGCGCCTTAAGATAAAGCATTCAGCTAGTGGTTGTTGCCTGTGATAGGTTACGCAAATTTAACGTGGTCCTTCACTGCTGGCCGTATGAGGAAGGGCAAAGTCTCTCTGCGGGCGATGGAGAGGGCTATGTTTGAAATTTCTCTGCGTGAAAAATTCCGAAATGAGAATATCAAGAGTAACTAATATAGCCCAGTGGATCGACAAGTTGAATTGGAAATGAGCTAGCTATATAGCTCGAAAAAACGACAGCCGATGACTTACGCTATTGATACACGCTATCAAAGGAAATAATTTTTTTAAATGTTTTCTGAATATAAAGAAAACCAGTTTATAAATGGCTAGTAAATAAATGTAAGGAGATAGCGATATATTATATAAACTTGCTAACGGAACTATATTTCAATTTCGGCTGTCACTGTGATAACATCTTAAAAATTAATTAATTTGTATTTGTATTAAAATTTAAAAAAATATATATTTTTATATTATATTTAAATAATAATAAGTTATTATATTTGTCGGCAAAATGTTTTTATTATTATATTTATTACTTGTAACTGGCACTTATGCTAAGCTCACGATTAATTATGACTCGTTTACGGGAGCACCAATAAGCCTGGAGGAGATGAAAATAAGAGACGTAGAGAACATAACGTTGTAAGTGTTTGCACTATTTCTTTTATTTGGATTTAATTAAAGATTTTTTTATAGAGTAAGGGTAACAAGCGAGGACACAGTACACCTGATGGTAAGTGGTTGCTGTGTCTTAAAGACATCTACACCTATCCTCGATTACGAGTCAAAATCAGATGCGTTGTCACCCGTGAAGACTAAGATAGAATGCCTTGTTTCCAGTAGAAGGGATCTCCGGTTCTCTAAACTTACCATAGGAAACACAGCAGTGTTAAGCTGCTATTTTACGCTGGTATTCTGTGAGAGCGTGGTCCTTCCCCGGTGGGCCGAAAATATAGCTGCAGCATGGCTCTACCACGTAAAAGACTGAGAACTAGTGAATAGTCTTTTAAATAATTATGTTTTAATACTTAATGGGTAATTTTAATAATCTAATTATCTTTCATTCTCTTTAGTTCTTGGTAGAACAAACTTATTTGTGGCTGTAAGAAAGTATGGTCCCCATATGACTTTTATTTCAGTTTTACTGTCGCACGGATGAGCCGGCTCAAACCGGGGTGGTACCACGACCTCACAGAAAACCGGCGTGAAGTAGAGGTTTACCTCTGCGTTTTGCTTGGTGAGTGCAGGTGACTGGAGGCCCTTTTTACTGGAAATGAGGCATTCCATCTTAGTCCTCACGGGTGACAACGCATCTACATTTTGATTTGTAATAGAGGATAGATGTAGATGCCTATGGGCCGCAGTAACCACTTACCATCAGGTGGACTGTATGCTCGTTTGTCAACCTTGTCCTATAAAAAAATTATAATCACTTTATAAAATTATCAAGATTAACTTATATTTTAATTTCAGACAAACTACTTAAGTTATCCTTATTTTATTTTAATTTTAAATGAACCAAGCAACTATAAACGTAAAGTTAATAAAAGTCGAACTTAAAATTAATACCGTGTAGTTGGGGCGTAAGAAAATAAAACTACTACTGGTCATTCCGTGGAGGACAGAAAGAAACTGATACAGGATCTCTTCCTGGTAACAACAAAACAAACTACGTGGGCGCAATCCGCCTGATAAGCGTAGCAATTAGAACAAATTCTCTCCTTCCCCCTATGAGGCAATCTATGGGAGAGGCTTATGTTCTGTATTGAATTTTGAAATAACTACAATTGAAATTTTAACTCAGTAAAATTTCCACTAAGGTTAACTGATACCAAAAATAGGATTTAAGGATAGAATTTATAATGCGACAGCCATGAAAATAACATTACTTTCAGTTGGTGCACCAATGAAATTGAGCTCTGTGACCCAGAAGAGGGAAAACGAGTAGATGGGTCGTGTAACAACTTGCGATATCCCTCACGAGGTGCTCCTCACACGCCTACTTATAGATTGTTACCCGCTATCTACGATAAAGGTAAGTTATATAATTAATGATTCCTGATCGATTTTTATTTCTTGAACAAATTCCCAATTACTATGGAACTGTTGAAACTATTAGCTTAGCAGCGGCGGGCAATATAAAGCCACAAGAATAAGAGATGAAACAGAGGAACTAATGCTGGTATTCTGAGAGCGTGCTCTTTACCAGATAGAGCCGACACATTCCTACTGCTGTTGTTAAATAGAAAGAGTGTAGCTTTGCCGCGTAGATAATATTTATATATCTATGTTTGTATATACTCTTATATGCACATTTTATATTTAATTTATAATTAAAATATTTTATATAATATAATTTATCATATTAAAACAACATACCGAACTTCCATTTAACTTAAAATCCATAGACAGGAGAAGAATGGACTTAGTTTGTGTAAACCCTCAAACCAAACACGCATTTGTGAACAAATTTTACATATTTTTAGGACCCTTTCTATATAACAAGCTCAACAAGTCACTAAAGGTATATAGTCTAAGTTATAAGGACTGTAATATAAGTGTAGTAATATGTATGTATGCGTAGATATATGGATGTAAAAGAGGAGAGAGAGGTGTGTCAGGATCGCGCCAAATGGAAGTCCGTAGTCTCTGCCTACCCCTCTGGGTGACAGGCGTGAGTGTTTATGTATGTATGTATATAAGTGTAAGGGAATTTCTAAATAAATTAAATTACGAAGACACAGAGAAGTTGTTAGATATACTAAAATAGTTTGTATTAATTGTAGGCAATAAATAATTGTTATTTAGTTATTTTATTTATTATACAATTTAGTTTAATTATTTAAATATCTAGTGTCCTACATTATTAAACCGATTGTATAAGTGATGTCTGAAACACAGGTACTCAACCTAGTTCAGGCAGGTAGCTAATATTATAAATATGAATTTTCTATCTTCTTTTGTAGATTCTACATTATTTAGCTACACATAGTTTTAATTTTATCATAGCATGTTATTTTTGTTAGACTTATTGTTATTTTATTAATTGTAATCATTCTGATTCCTGTATGTCAACATGTGTAATTCGAAATGAAATAAATATTTATTATTATTATTATTATTATATTTATAATGTGTTTTATATTTTTGTGTATTTACTGTTTATTGACCATGCTTGCATATTTAATTTACCTAACATCAATGTTATACAGGTTTCACACATTTTGTAACTCATGTCATTATTGTACTGCTTCGTAGATTTCAGTTAATCCCGAAATAATGGTTTACTGGTATATAATTCCCAGAGCATCACCTGCTGTACCTCTAAGTCTACCTATTGTACCTGTTTATATGAGAAATGAAGTATAAATAAATAAATAGAACAATTACAAGAGAAAGAAAAAACTAAATAATATAATAATAGTGTCGTGTCATGACGGCCAGTATAAATGGAGGCTAACCATCTATTTTTCATCACAAGCACAGGTGCACTTCTGTTTCCTCACATATCACAGCTCGATGGCACGGCAATCTAACACGTATGTAGAGAGATCAGGCGAATGACCAACGACTTAACGCACTTTCCGAGGCACGGAGTGTAATACTGCAAACTTCCTACTAAGAACTTTTGGATAGAAAAACCCAATAATTGGTTTAGGCCCGAACCAGGATTCGAACGCAGGACCTTTTGATCAACAGTCACACCTACGACCACTAGGCCAATACATTTTTCACATGTAATATCATCATGAAGGAAAACGAAATACACTCTTTTTTAATTTGTAATACACATTATGACTGAGAAGATAATACACTGTACCTGTGGTATCTGGATATCCGTTACTCGTAGTCGATTTTATTTTCGTATAATGAAATGTAAGATATGTGTTATCTGAATTTTTTTATGTAAACAATCAAATTAACAATCCATACGATTTTTTAAAAATGATTTTATCTATTTGCATGCCAAATTTGTGAATTATTTTTATCATCGACGTTCGAAAGACGTATTTCTAGTTTCTTAAGAGTACGAGTCTCGATTCCCTTCCTCCGATTTTTTTCAACATCTGTGCAAGTTGCTTGTATAAACCTCTTTAAAGAATATTTAATAAGTCCCTTTCTTCTGGTATATTTCCGCATTAGTGAAAAATTGCCAGTATAACTCAAATATATAAATCGGGTAATGTCCACAGCTGTCAACCAAAAAGGTCAACAGCTTCAAACCTTGTAAGTTATATATTGGACATTTCTGATGCTATTGATGACGGAGAAGAAGTTCACGCCATATATACTGAATTCCGTAAGGCATTTGATGTCGTAAATCATGACATATTAATGGTTAAACTGGAAGCAATGGGTATTCATGGAACACTGCTTAGATGATGTGGAACTTACTTGAGGAACCGTTCACAACTTATTTATATAAATGGATTTAAGTCATTCTCAAGTGAAATCCTTTCTGGTATTTCTCAAGGTTCTCACCTCTGTCCATTGTTTTTCTCGATATTCATAAACGATATAAGTAAAATTCTTTAATCCAAATTTAAAATATACGCAGTCGATTTAAAAAATTATCTAACTATAAAAAGTGTCCATGGTGTTATCGCCTTACAACAAGATCTCGATAAAATTTATGGATGGTGTAAGGATAACCTCATGATATTAAAAACACAAAATGTTATCATATAAAATTTATCAGAAAAAAGAAGGGTTACACAGCTAAGTATTACAATGTCATAAAAGAGTGTCTTGCTTGCGAGATTTGAGAGTTTTTGCAGATACTACAATTTTTTATCGGCACCATTTTGATTACATTATCAAAAAATCTCAAAATTCTCAGGCTTTATATGAAGGCAAATTAATATTTAAAAAATCAGTGGACTAATCATAACTATTTATATTTCTCCCCACCCACTCTGAGCGAATAGTTCAAAAACGTTTTTTGTATATCCTTAGCTATGCGGAGAATAAATGTCATACATATATTTCATTCTTACTATGATCGGCTAAAACATTTTAAAATGGTTCCGTTGCAAATGCGTAGGAAAATGTTTGATGTATATTTTTTCGTATACATTGATTAATGGTTATATTGACTCACCAATAATCTTAGAGTGCATACAATTCTTAATACCTCGTGCTAATAGTCGCCTTCATACTCGTAAAACATTTAGTCTTCCACTTTGTAGAACGGTTCTTGGATAACATTCGCCATTATACCGCATGTATTCATCCAGTAACATTGTTCCTTCTAAAGTGGATGTTTTCATGGGTTCAGTGGCCTCCACAAAAAACAAATTATTACAGTAACTTAATATTTTCTAGTCATTGACTTTACCTGCCATGTAGAAAAAATTTTTTTTTATTTCTCATATATACAGGTTTGTCCTCTTTCCATCGATTTCCATCATCACTGAGGACATGGTAAATGAGAACTTAAAATTACAACTAACATTTCATTGGTTCCGACTGGGATTGAACCTAGGTTGCTCACATACTGTTATATTTACAGCTACATTTACTGTATTTAAATACAAATAATACGAAAACGTAAAATAATTATTGGGGTACTTATATAGTGTTCTCATCTAGTTGGGCTGTATAAAGTATATAATTGAAAATGATAATAATACATAATACATAAACACTCACGCCTGTCACCCAGAGGGGTAGGCAGAGACTACGGACTTCCATTTGGCGCGATCCTGACACACCTCTCTCGCCTCTTTTACATCCATATATCTACGCATACACGCTCGTCGGTTATGGGTACTCCTAATCTGGCCCATTTTTAATGTATCGCCGATTTGGTCGATAAACCTTCGTCTAGGGCGTCCCTTCCCGACCCTGCCGTTCACTTCCGCAACATAAATTTGCTTTGTCACTCTTTCCTCGTTCATTCATTCTACATGACCAAACCACCGAAGCATTCCTTTCTTAATCCTTGTCACAACGTCATCTTGCAGACCACACTTTTCTCTTATCACACTATTTCTCACCCTGTCATTCAGATTCAGCCCTAGCATACTCCTTAAGGAACGCATTTCTACAGCATTTATTCTACTCTCATGCTTCTTCTGCCAGACCCAACTTTCACTACCATACATTAAAGTAGGGACTAACACAGCATTATGAATTGCCATACGTGCCTTAGTTGACACATTCTGACTCCTCATAATAGCGTGTAGAGCCCCATTCACTCTATTTCCTGCGTTCACTCGTCGTTCTATATCCTTATCATATCCACCATCCCTGCTAAATAAACATCCCAAATATACAAATTCATCCACTTGCTCAATCAACTCCCCTTCTATTCTTATTTCACATAAAGTTTTACTTTCTTCTCTTTGAAAAACCATCACTTTCGTCTTACTTGCGTTCACTTTCATACCCCTTTCTTTCAATGACTAATTCATTAAAGTAACCATCATTTGCAACTCGGCCGCCGACGATGCAAATATGACTTGATCATCGGCGTACAAAAGGCATTTGACGGTTGACTCACCCATTCTCAACCCACATTCTTCAACTTTCAAAGTTTGCAAACAACTGTCCATAAATAAGTTAAACAGCCACGGGGAAGCCACACATCCCTGTCTGACACCTTTATGAATGCCAAACCAGTCCGAGTAGACCCCGTTGATCCTGACACAAGCACTAGAGTCCCTATAAAGAGATCTTAATGCCTGTATCAAGCCAGCGCTCAACCCAAATGAGTTCAGTGTTTGCCATAACACATTCCTGTCCACTCTGTCATAAGCCTTTTCCAAGTCCATGAACGCACAAAAAACTTTCTGGTTTTTAGCCAAAAACTTCTCCGCTATCATGCGCATGGAAAAGACTTGATCCGTACACCCCATCCCCTTTCTAAATCCAGCTTGCACATCCCAAATTTTTCCATCAGTTTCTTCCATAACTCTTTCAATTAACACCTTAGCATACAGTTTACCCACAATGCTAAGCAAGCTGATACCACGGTAGTTTTTACAGTCCTGCTGCGACCCCTTTCCCTTATATATTGGGACTATAACGGCTTTGCACCAGTCTTCCGGTACCCGTTTCAGTTCCCAACATAAATTAAACAAGGTGTGCAGCAGGCCTGTCACCACACCATCACCAGCCCTTAGCATTTCGATTGATACTCTATCATATCCGGCTGCCTTACCTGCTTTCATGCTTTTCATTGCATTCATTATTTCATCTACACTTATCTCCCTACCTCTCTCCACTTCTTCCGGAATTTCTATTTCACTTATTCCAGACGACTCTTCACTCTTAAACACGCTTTCAAAGTATTCCTTCCATCTCTTTAAATTCGAAACTTCATCATTCAGCATGCAGCCATTCTCGTCTCGTATAGCATTTATTCTAGGCTGTTTTGAATTTCCCCTGGCAGTTCTTACGAGCTTCCAGAACATTTTAATATTTGCCTGGAAGTTATCAGATATCCTTCTATCATTCTTATCTATCCTTTCTTGCTTTTTCCTTTCAACAACTTCTTTTACTCTCTTATTTATACGTCTAAAGTCTGCCTTTTTTCTTTCAATCTCATCATTCATACCGCCAGAATTACCAGCTTTAGTTGCTAGTAAATCTAGCCATGCTCTCTTCTTTGCTTCAACTTCCATCCGTACCTCATCATCCCACCACAACGTATTACTTTTCCTTTCATTCGTTCTCTTACTTACACCGCATACTTCGGTGGCTGCATCCACCAAAACTTTCTTAATATTATTCCATACATTCTTCAATTCTAAATCATTCATACATAATTCATTCAACCCACTTATATTTTCCCTCAATCTGCATTTATACTTCTCTTTCACACCTTCATCTTGTAACCTCTCTATTCTTATACGCTGTAACGCAGTGGTAGGCACCGATGTCCGATGCCGCCAACGTCTGAATAGACCATTAATTCGGCATAAGACCAAGTAATGATCCGTCCCTACGTTGGACCCCCGGTAAACCCTTGTATCTACCACTGCGCTCCTCATTCTTTCATCCACAATTATAAAATCTATCATGTTTCTATCATCCCCTCTTTCCCATGTATACATGTGAATCCTCTTATGGCGAAAGAAAGTGTTCGCCACAAAAAGATTCTTTTCCACACATACGGTGAGGAGGTCTTCACCATTCTCATTTATTCTTTCATCGCCAAACGTTCCTAATATCCTTTCATAACCAGACCTCTTCACCCCAACCCTTCCATTAAAATCTCCTAACATAATAATATTTTCATTTTCCTTACATTTCATCAACACCAGCCTTACCATGTCCCAAAACTGCTCTCGGATATAAGTGGGCTTAGACATATCTGGGGCGTACACCCCTAGCACAAACAACTTCTTTAAGCCCACTTTCATTCGTATCCACAGCAGCCTTGGGCTAACACATTCATACTCTTTCACACATTGACCCATTCTTTCTGAAAGGATGACACCGACTCCCTGGCATGCCCGCTCGGTCTCGTCTACTCCAGACCAGTAAGCGGTATACATGCCATGTGCAGTGACATCTCTTCCCTTTCGTTTCGTCTCGTTTACACATAACACATCTATTCCTCTATCATTCATCATTTCGCATACTTCATCCATCTTATCATTCATTGCTCCACATACATTCAGCGTGGCCAGACGGGCCTCCGCAATCCACTTTTCGCCCCCCCGGGAGACAGGACGTGACGGGTGGCGAACCTCGTCGCCGGTTTTTCTCCCGGAGATTCTTCGCACCCCTGCCCCATTAAAGGGGCGCCGGGAACTCGGGGCCATTTCTTTTCCTTCTTGGCTCATGGTGCGAACTAAAGGGTGGTAGATTTTATGCCGCTACCATACGGCGAGGAGCCGAGGCTGTCGTTTCGGCTTTGTCGCTCGTTTAGCACCACCCGGGGGACACGTGTAGGGTGGGCCTAGGATTAGGTGGTCGAAGCCTACGGACGCGAGCGACTCATCCCCCATGAAAATGATAAATATATATAAATATCAGTAAAATAAAATATATAAATAAATAAAAGATACATAATTAAATAAAGAGTCAACCAGACGGGAACCCTCTATAGGGGAGACTAAACGGTCGATAGTTAGGGGGAAAGAGAAAGAAATTGGCGGACGATGCGGGATGCCAAGGCGCACCGTCTTCTGCATTTGAGCCTGGAGTGGTCCGTCACGGAATCCTAGACGCCTTAGACTGACCGAGAGAGAGAGAAACGATTACAGGTTTAATTTCGGTCGGCAGACCAACCCTTATGTCGGTCGCCTCATGAGCCAGGTCCAGATATTTTGTTCACTTATCTGTTTCGGGTTTAACGAGGTTCTCGTCATACGGAAATGTAATATTGACCAAAACATCCTTGATTGCGCACAATATCAGGTTTATTCGTAAGAATAGTCGTGTCTGTGTTGATGGCCCGGTCCCAGTAGAGCCTGGCGAGGTCATTTTGGAGCACGGCTTCTGGCAAGTACTTATAATAAGGCAGTTTCCAACAGAAGAGACTGTATTTTAGAGCGAGCTCCTGGTGTAGATTCCCGGCTATTAGATAGTGTCTGTGCAAATACTCAGAGTAAGAAAGTTCCGAACAACCGGAGATAACATGCCTAAGTGACTCACCGGGATAAAGACAAGCTCGACAGATATCGCCAGCGCCATCTTTTAGGATGTATTTCTTATAGTTGTTGGTCTTAATAACCTGATCCTGGATCGCACAGACAAAACCCTCGGTTTCTCCAAAAATGTCATCGAAACGTAGCCAGTTGAGGGAGGCGACGGTATCTACGAAAGGCTTATGAAGAGTCTTGTAGAACCTCCCGTAGAGCTCTTTCTCCTTCCATACGGTCTCCCGGTCAGAAATGCTCTGTACTGCCGGGTCTTGCCATTGCTCGTTGGCAACGGATAGAGGGGTAAGCCCTTTATACCAAGAAATTTTACATGTGGTATAGCCATGTTCCAGCTATATTAGTAGTATAGTTGTAGGGTCGGCTCGACCGGGGAAGTACCACGCTCTTACGAATCACGCACGCACGAATATTTTATATATTTAAATAAATAAAATTAACACTTGTAGCTTTTATAGAGACTCGATTATTATCGTTCTTGTAGAGCGTCGTCTCTGTCAACAGTACAGTGACTACTAGCCGTCTTAGTTTGAAATTGGCTGCAGGTGTCCGTGAACTACATTAACTAGTAGCAGTCGGTGCAGATATCAGTTAAATAAATAAGTAAATAAAGTATTAAGTATTGTTTCACGTGCAAACTTACGTAAATTACTCGTCACTGAAGAAAATATGTGGAGTTAGTAGCAGAAAACCATTTCTGCGAAATAAATATTATTTCAAGGACACTTAAAGTTCGCTAACGGCTAACACGCTCTGTGGTAGTGTACATATATCTGACTGTATCCTGCGCGAACGACTAAGAATGCCTTGACACGGGAGTTATTGTTTAATTTTACCTGCCTTAAGTTTACAGCTACTGAGCCCAGTTATGCATCTGCCAATCTGCATAAATTTAATGATATATTTATACATCGATCTTTTACATTTTTAATTTTTAATTTTAATATATTAATTAATTTTCTTTTTAATTATTATAATTATATATATAATTATAATTATACAATATATTATGTCACTATATACAATATTACAAATTATAATAATAAAAAAAACTAAAACTAGAAACTTAAATTATCATATAGTCCTACTACCTAATTTGTACATTAATTTATTAACTTACTAACTCCAAAGACTGATTGATTATGAGTTTTTTTTAAAGAATAAATCTCAATCAAGCACACAGTCCAACTGATGATAAGTTGTGATATTGGACTTTTATACGAATAAGTATATATTTCTGTGCAGATTTCGAGCCAAGATTATCAAATTCCGGCCATTCATTGCCCCTGGCAAGGTTCTTGAGAACAAGTCTCCTAGCTGAGGGTAGATTACCCGATCAGAAGTACACTACGCTTGCAACCAACTTTCTTGTTTTTATGACGGCAGACGTGCTTTCTGTTCAAGACACAGGTGATTTGTTTATGTATATTGATAAAGATGTGATAATTAATTAGCGTAAGTTCTGCGTAAAAATACGAATGATGTTTCTTATGTAGTTAGAAGAACACCTTCCGCCCAGTTCCTTTAATTGCGTGCACTATCCCCACCACCACTAATCCCACCACCACTAATCCCACCACCACTAATCCCACCACCACTAATCCCACCACCACACCATTTCACTAACACAACTTCAATACGAGAGATACATCACCGTCTATAATACGTCACGTGTTTCGCCTCTAAACTTAGCATCATCAGGAGAAAGTTCTTCAGATGATGGCTCGTTGTAATTAATTTTAGCATCTTTGATATAATGGATTTCCAAAAAATGACGCCGAGCCTAATAATTACTTACATTGTAATATATATTTATTATAATATTAAATTTTAACGGTGGTAGAGCCCTGCAGCAGTTTTTTGCTGTTGCACGTATGGGCCGGCTCGAGCCGGGTTGGTACCACGACCTCACAGAATACCGGCGTGAAGTAGAGGCTCTGCTTCTGCGTTTCGTCTGGTGAGTGCAGGTGGCCGGAAGCCCAATTCCTCCCCCCCCCCCATCAACATGGTAGCGAAATTAGACAATAGACTACCCCAGGAGGGTACCAGTACCCCTGGAGAATCCCTCGCTGAGCATCCACGACCATGTTATTCCAATCCTGAGCGTGGGTGCTCAGGCTGCCCCGCGTATTCTGGGGGGGGCAAAATTCCGCTCAAAAACAAAACTGCTCGGGGCAAGCTGAGCAACAATACCAAGGCGACCCCTGCCACGCTATCCGTGAATTTCTGCAACATCAGGGGACTTCACTCTAACCTAAACGCCGTCCACTACCATCTCGAGACGGCGAAGCCGGCCTTGCTCTTTTTGACCGAGACGCAGGTTTCCTCTCCGACTGATATTTCGTATCTCTCCTACCCGGGGTACAAATTGGAGCACTCCTTTGTGCCTCGGGCTGGAGTTTGCGTGTATGTTAGAGAGGACATCTGTTCTCGACGCCTCGGCAGTCTTGAAGGTTCGGACCTGTCCATCCTTTGGCTACGCGTAGACAGCGACGACCATCCGCGCGTCTACGGGTGCCTCTATAGGTCCCATAGCGGTAATGCCGAAACAGACCGACTCATCGACCACGTCCAAATGGCTACAGATTCCTTGCTACAACAGGTCCCATCCGCAGAGATCGTGATCCTTGGCGATTTTAACGCCCACCATGCCGAATGGCTCGGTTCACGTTTAACCGATCATGCGGGGAGATCTGTTTATGACTTTGCCTTGGCATATGGTCTGACACAACTGGTTACTTCGCCTACGCGGATTCCAGATGTGGAGGATCATACACCTTCCCTGTTGGACCTTCTGCTGACCTCTCATCCGGACGGATATCAGGTTTCCGTCGATGCCCCTCTCGGCTCTTCGGACCATTGTCTGATCCGGAATATGGTGCCACTCACGCTCCCTTCGCGGTTGCGTTCTGCAGGTTGCCGCCGTGTTTGGCATTACAGGTCGGCGGATTGGGACGGAATGCGGTCTTTCTTTGCATCCTACCCATGGGGGCGGGTTTGCTTCTCGCCGGATGATCCCAGTGCTGTTGCTGACTCTGTCACTGATGTGGTGCTACAGGGAATGGAACTATTTATTCCATCATCTGTGGTACCCATCGGAGGCAGATCTCAGCCTTGGTTTGGTCGCTCCTGTAAGACTGCATTGCGCAGTAAGCAGGAGTGTTATCAAGCCTGGGCTGCAGCTTCGGTGACTCGGGATGTAAACACCAGCACACTTAAAAAGAAGTATAACTTCGCCTCCAGGTCCTTCAAAAGAGTTATTGCCAAGGCAAAGTCAGAGCACATAGGCAGAATTGGCGAGAAACTAGTTCGCCTTCCTTCGGGAACCCGTGCATTCTGGTCTGCCGCCAAGGCTGTCCAAGGGAATTTCTGTAAGCCATCACTACCATCTCTGCACAGGGAGGACGACTCACTGGCCCAAGACGCAAAAGACAAAGCCGACCTTTTAGGCTCCCTTTTTGCGTCCAACTCGACTCTTGATGACGGGGGGAAAATACCGCCGACCATCCCGCGGTGTGAGTGCTCCATGCCGGATGTGCTATTCTCACAGCGCTCAGTTCGCAAAGCACTTCTCTCCCTGGACATCCAGAAGTCGAGTGGGCCTGACGGAATCCCCGCAATTGTGCTGAGGACGTGTGCTCCGGAGTTGGCACCGGTCCTAACGCGTCTTTTCCGGTACTCCTACTCCCAAGGCGTAGTCCCGAATTCATGGAAGACAGCTTTTGTCCACCCGATCCCTAAAAAAGGCGACCGCTCAGACCCGTCCAACTATAGGCCTATCGCGATCACCTCCTTGTTCTCCAAAATAATGGAATCCATTATTAACTGCCAGCTCATCCGGTACCTTGAGGATCACCAGCTGATTAGTGACCGTCAATACGGTTTTCGTCGGTGTCGATCAGCTGGTGATCTTCTGGTCTACCTGACCCATAGATGGGCGGAGGCAGTAGAGTCCAAGGGGGAGGCATTGTTCGTTAGTTTGGACATTGCGCAGGCCTTCGATCGGGTTTGGCACAAAGCGCTTCTTTCGAAGCTCCCTTCCTATGGGCTTCCCGAGAAATTATGCAATTGGATCACCAGCTTTCTTGCAGATCGGAGCATCAAGGTCGTTATAGACGGTGCATGCTCCGACTACAAGCCTATTAACGCTGGTGTTCCACAAGGCTGTGTGCTATCACCAACGCTGTTTCTTCTGCATATCAATGATATGTTGCTAACTGGTAACATTCATTGCTATGCGGATGACAGCACTGGTGATGCTCTATACACCGGCCGGGCCAATATTTCTCGGGAAAACGTCGCCGAGTACCGGAACAAACTTGTGTCTGAAGTCGAGTCTTTGCTGGACAAAGTCTCGGATTGGGGGCGACTAAATCTAGTCCAGTTTAATCCTCAGAAGACACAAGTTTGCGCGTTTACCGCTAAAAAGAACCCCTTTGTCGTATCTCCTCAGTTTCAAGGCACTCCCCTTCTTGCCTCAGCCAGTATCGGTATCCTCGGAGTCGACATATCGAGTGACGTGCAGTTTCGTGGTCACTTGGAAGAGAAGGCCAAATTGGCCTCTAAAAAGCTTGGCGTGCTTAGCAGAGCGGGACAGTATTTCATGCCGGCACACCGCCTGCAACTTTACAAGGCGCAGGTTCGGCCTCACATGGAATACTGTTCCCATCTCTGGGCAGGGGCTCCCCAGTGCCAGCTCCTTCCACTTGACCGCATCCAGCGCAGAGCGGCTCGAATCGTCGACGACCGAGCCCTTTCCGATCGGCTCGATTCATTGGCACTGCGAAGAGATGTTGCATCTCTTTGCATTTTCTTTCGCATCTACCATGGGGAGTGCTCTGAGGAATTGTTCGGATTAATCCCAGCCGCCAAATTTCACGAACGCACATCGCGGCAGAACTCCCGATACCATCCACACCATCTGGATGATTGGCGGTCCACCACTGTGCGATTTAGAAGATGTTTTCTTCCTCGCACAACTTCCTTGTGGAATAGTTTACCACCAGGGATTTTTCCGGACCGATACGACTTAGGGACCTTCAAGAAAAGAGCCTACTCCTTTTTAAAAGGCCGGCAACGCATCTGCAATTCCCCTGGTGTTGCGGTTGTTCATGGGCGGCGGTAGTCACTTACCATCAGGTGAGCCGCATGCTCGTTTGCCCCCTCTCCTATAAAAAAAAAAAAATTATTATGCTTATTTATCTTTGTCAGTTTGCGATAGTCCACCTCACATTGTAGATAGTACGGTACTCAGTTTATAATTTGGCAATTTCAACATCAGATATAACGCACCTTTGATGCTACTCTCTGTCTATGGACTGGGTATTTTATATCTAATATTAATGAGGTTGCATTTCACCATCTATATCTTAAATCTTTTCCCATAGTCACCTTTAACGACACCCTCTTACGCTACCACCAGATGGAAATCCTGTATATTAGTATCAAAATTTCCAATGTACAAGTAATTGACAAAAACATTTGGTGCTAATATTTTGATCTCAATTGACTTATTTTACTTTTTTGCGTATTAAAGCTTATTATTTTGCATATCGAATTGTGATAATGCTGTAAAAGTGTATATTTTAATTACATAGTGAAAAAGTTTTAACGTTAAACAAAAAATCAAAATAAAAAAATACGCACTATTACATACATATAAACAACTACTGTTATTAAAATGAATGTAATTGTTTATTAAACATGATATCTTTTAGTTAAGTTTATCATTTGGAAGCCGTATTGCTGCCAACCAAAAGGCAAAACTGATAGAGATTGCGTTCCAAATAAAATACCCGACGATGATCCAGTTCATCGCTTCTCCAACATAAGATGTTTGAACATGACCAGACCTGAAAGTTTTCAATCTATCGGTTGTATCCGAAATGATACAGTTCCTGAAAGGGTAAGTAGACTATGCTATTTGGTTATAAGTGTATTATTTTCACTGCCCAGTTAAGTACCACGCTTTTACTCTTTTCTGTCAGCAACCAAAGTGCGTATAAATTAATTTTTTCGTATTCAAGAATGGGGCAACGGAACAACAGCAGACTTTCATTGGAAATGTTAGTTCGCTTATTACTTATATTTTTATCATCATTACAGACCATAACAACTCTACTCCTGAACGGCGTCTTTTCCCAAGGAATGCAATAAAGCATGGTCATAAGACCATGCTTTATTGCATGCTACCTGCATCGATCGACTTCCTACATTTAACAGGTCGTCACTCCATCGAGTGTGGGGCCGCCCTACATTTAAATTACCGGTGCGGGGTTGCCATTCGGGAACCTTTCTTCCTTCGCCACTCGGAAACCTTCCTTGCTCCTTGCAGTATAAGAATATCCACCACCCTATATCGTCCCGTGGGTATCGTAAGAGGCGACAAAGAAGCAAGAGATGGGTAACAGGGTCAGCCTAATAACAATTACAATATACCTACTGTGTTTGATAACCCGCCATTCAAGCGTGTCAGACAAATATGAGGCAATTTATAGGAATGGCGTGTGTTTAGCAACAACGATAACATAAACCGGGAGCATCAAGTCGTTTATCTATTTAGTGACAACCATAATAAACCAAGAATAACTTAATTGGTGAATGGTACCTCGGGTCTAGTCCCTCGCTCGCTGTTAATTTTACGGTGCTCATTTTTTACGTACTCGGAGATAATGGAAATATCGTGACGAAACCTACATATCTGAGGAATAAAACATTTCGAAGGCATTTGAAGTCCTCTAACACGTACTGGGGCAACGTGGTTGACTGATCGCTTAATAACTCCCTTAGAAATGTGAGGCTCCTTATGATGTAAATAGGCTGCTACTTTTACATATATATATATATATATATAAAATGTGTCTGTTGTCATATTCATTCTAGGATGAGGGTAAAAATGGAGCAAACAGTATACCTAGTATGTATTAAATACTTTGATCTAAAGACAACTACATCTATACTCATATAAGAATGGAAATACAGATAAGTTGTCACCCCTGACAATTACAGTGGAATGCCTTATTACAAGTAAAAAGGATCTCTAGTTCCTTATGGTATAACCATCACGAAATACCAGCGTAAAATTGGTTATTTTACGCTCGTATTTTGTGAGAGTGTGGTCCTCTCCCTTCTTCTTGAGCCCACCCATACGTGCTGCAGCGTGGCTCAAACACGTTAAAAACGAGATTATTAAAATATAATTGTTCACTTGATTTTATTAATTCAGTAGATAAATATTAAACAATTTAAAATGGAAAATATATAAAGTTTCTTAATGTTACAGATTGTGTCGGCAACACCAGCATTCGATTTGTCACTATTATATGGTAATTCATTACAATCATTATCGGAAAAAGGCCGCCTATTCAAAGGTGGGCTGCTAAAATATGAAGTGGAAAACGGAAGAATCTGGCCACCTAGTGGTAGTGATAGATGCATCTTGAACCAAAAACCTCAAGAAACCCGATGTCATAATACACGTAAGAAAAATCTCTTTTAATTATAAATTCAATTAATCATTTGTGGTTTTGTTGTCGAAGTGTTCAATTTTTATGACAGTAGTACCTGTAACTCTATCCGATGCAATAGAGCAACACAGGTCACCGTCAGACCGAAGGGGCGTAGCCATACTCCTATACTTCCAGAGCCCCCGGGCAAGGATGAAATTACAGCGGAGCTTCTTAAAGCTGGTGGAAAATGGGTACTTAAAGTCCTTCAGAAGCTCTTTAATTCCGTCCTCCATGATGGTACTACTCTGGAGGCATGCAGCGAGAACGATTTCCATTCTGAGCTAAATCTACGGGCTGTTTTCAGACTTTCAGCCTCCCGGACAAGCCGGTTTCCAAAAAGGCTTTAGCACCATAGATCACATAATTATATACCCTTCAGCAAATTGTACCGAACAGTACAATCTTCCGCTTTGTTTGGAGTGTATGGAAAACTTGGGCAGTACTAAAATCCCTTAATAGATACCAAGTTGACTATCGATATATCGAAGTCTTTGAGTGTTTATACGGTAAGGCTACGATGGCTATCCGAGTACAAAACCAATCCAAATGCATAGAGGTGTAATATCCTCAGAATGACGTTATATCCTCGAAAATTTTCACCGCTGCATTGGAAGAGGTTTTCAAGCTACTGGACTGGATAGGATACGGTATTAACATCAATGGCGAGTACGTCACTCATCTTTGATTTTTCAACGAATTTCTTATGGTAAAATTACTGAAGAACCTAAGCACACTGCTTAATGACCTCGAAAACCTTCCAACGGATAGGTCTTTAAATAAACATGGGCAATTAAAAAATATCATGTGTAACGTCCATGCCACACCTATGCCAGTAATCGTTGTGTACACTAAGCTTGAAGTTTTAGCTCTAAGTAATTTCAGCTTCGATAGAGAAGTCAACCGACGGATTCCACTCTCCTGGGCAGCGTTTGGGACATTACGGCACATCTTCTCGTCAAGTATACTTCAAAACTTGAAAACAAGAATTTATAATCAGTGCGTGTTGTCTTTCACTGCTGGCCGTATGAGGAGGCCCAAGGACATTCAGTGAGCTATGGAGTGAACTACGCTATCACGCAAAGAATAGGAGTTTAACTTAAACTTAGATATGAGGATATCCGCAATAGAACCAGAGTGACCGACATAGTCCACCGCAATAGTAAGTTGATGTTACAATGGGCCGGCCAAATAGCTCGAAAAACCCACAAAAAATGGGGAAAAAAGGTTCTCGAGTGGTAGCCTCGTACCGGTAGGCGCAGTGTAGGGCGGTACCCACTAGATGGAGTGGTGACCTGGTAAGACATACAGGTCGATGGATGCAAGTAGATCAGGACCTTACTTTGTGGAAGGCCTATGTTCAGCAGTGGACTTGTGAAGGGTTGGGGTTGTGTTTTAAACTAATGATAATGATGAAGTAGCTTTTGCAGTTTAATAAAATTATCGTCTGCTGGATTTTGTCCTATGTTGGTTTCGACTTATAGGTTCCATATTTATGTGGGATTTACAACAAAAAACAATATTGCTAACTGTTTACTGACTCAAATCACTTGTTTCAAAATGTTTCATCGTAATCCTCTTTTTGGCTAATAGTGGTCTGAGCAGCTGCTCTTTTGCTTTGCCTACTTTTTAGATTATAGACAGTGTTATGTATACTTGGTTTTTGTCAATTTGATATTAATTTGTTTCAGCTGAAGACGGTGTGAACAATTTAGCGGGAATAAATTTGTTAAGCATTTGGTTTTGGAGACTTCACAACTTCATTGCCACTGGATTGTCTAAGGTCAATCCTTGCTGGAACGATGACAAGCTTTTCTACACGGCTCGTGATATAAATATTGCTATTTTTTTACAAATACTCTTATATGAGCTATTGCCTGCCTATTTTGGTAAGATTCCTTTGAATATTTTTAATATTATTCTTCTTCAGGCCGTATCCAGTATCAGTAGCCATGTAGTGGCGGTGTAAGAATATTCACTACCCCAAATTTTCTTGTGGGTGTCGTAAGATCCGACTGTGGGAAACTGAACCTAGAGATGGGCATCAGTATTTTCCTGATAACAACAAAAAATGATGTGGGTAAACAAAATCTACACAAGCAAAGCCTCGAGAAATAACCAGTGTAATAACCAATTATACATTTAAACACAATGACTTCTAATTGATGCAAAATAATCTAAGTTGCACTGCGTAAAATGTGTACTTACTAATTTGTTATTTTTAATCTTCATTTCCTTAGGTTATGACAATTTATTAAAAGATGGAGTTTTATCACCCACACCTGGATTCAGAGACTACTACAATGAACATCTTTTCCCTCAAATATCACTTGAGTTCCCATTTGTTCTTCGTTGGTTCCATACAACGCAGGAAGGAAATATGAAGTAAGTTTTAATACTGCTAATTATTAGATTCGATGCCCAAACCAGCAATTCTTATAGAAATAAGGGGAAAACAATCTAACCAATGATAAATAAATAATTTAGTCCAGAGACATCTACATCTATCTTTGACTAAGAATCAAAATATACACGCGTTCCTACCTCTGTGGTATGTGATAAAATGCCTTGTTACCAGTAAAAATGCTCGCCAGTTCCCTGCTGCTATTTCACGCGGTATTCAGTAAGAGTATGGTCTATGCAGCGTTACTCTACAATCTGTAACCATTACACGTAAAAATTGTTGTCTACCTGATGGTAATAAAAATACATTTTTTAAAGTTAAGTCATTTCTTTTATCATAGTCCTTTCATTATATTATTTAGAAACGATAGTAAAATTAGAATCATCATCATCATCAGCTTGTATAATTCCACTACTGTACGAGGCCTATTTATTTTGATTTGAAAGAAAAGTATGAAATGTATTTGTAAGGAAGATCAGAAGTGTATTCACGTTTGGTAGACGGATTGATGACTGCACAAGCTGGCGTCTCGCAACTTTGACGCTGCCCGTCGTCATTCTGAGCATTTTAAGCCTAGAGTAAACAAAATGGTTATACTGCCTCTGTTGTAAGTCATAACGGCTTTTTCGCAGTTATGGGTGGCCATTGCAGCATCTTACGACTTCAACGATGAATATGTTATTTATTATTATATATTATAATTACGATGAATTCCCTTAAGCCAGTGAACCTGTTTAATACAGAGTTTTTTTTTAGCTTATACGACACTCTGGGCTGCTATTTGAAGAAAGTTCCAATTGTAAACATGACTCTAAGAACTGGGTTCTTCGGTGTGGACGACAATATGGATTATGTAACGCAAGGAAACTTTAGGCAAGCAGCGGCTAAGGCAGACTATATCGTCGACCCTGACGTAAGTAGAAAACATTCAAGAGAAGAAAATTCTAGCTATGCTTGGCTATATGCAATGTCTTTTTTCACAATTCACAAGAGTTTCTTCGTAATCGGACGATTATTAAATCATACATATTATTAAAGCATACGGGGCAAACAAATATATATATTATATAACAATATAATGTATTTGTTAAATATTGATATCTTTACATTACAACAATAAGAAGTAGTTAAACCACATGATAAGTTTACAAATTTTTATGTAGTTAATATTTGAGTGCAAACAAGCAAGGTAATTGGCTATTGCAAACCAATACGCTTGCTAGAACGCTTATACCATTTTGATTAACTTCAAACCTACAGGATTTAAGTTTAAACAAAAACAATGTTTTAAAATACAGACGCATGTAACTATACTGTATTTCTTACCTATTAAATAAGAATATAGCAGTGCGTGCACTGAATAGAATCTGTACCGACCTAAATTGACTTCTAGACAGGGAAAGAGTATGAACACATAATACTGTTTACTCACAGCCTTGAATTATACTATATCACTCACCTATCAAATGAGAACATAATAATGTCCTCCAGACCAAATTTCTGTCACGGCGGCCAGCCTCAACGGAGACTAGCCATCTGCGCAGGACAGGATTATAGTGCTCAAGTGTATGCGCAAGCACAGGTGCACTCTCTATTCCCTCACTCTCATAGTCCGATGGGACGGTAAACCGACACGCCCGAAGAGAGATCAGGCGCAGGACCAACGGCTTAACGTGCTTTCCGAGGCACGGGGGTAAGACACCGCCAACTTCCTGACTCCGGGCAGCTACTGAGAATTTCTTGATAGAAAAACTCAATAACTGACTTTTTTGGCCCGACTCGGGATTCGAATCCGGGACCTCATGATTAGCAGTCGCACTACTACAACCACTAGACCAACGAGGCAGTCCACACATTATAGTGCGTACACTAAAAATAATACGTAAGACATAAGTAACCACCTAAATTAACTTCTCGGAAACTGAAGGGTCTCAGCACTTAATACGTAAGTGTCAGTATCATTTTATATTTTAACTTTTTAATAACTTACCTTCCTATGTTGGAGTATGGACACTATAGAAAAAAACATTAAAGATAAAGCAAATTATGGAAGATTTTGTCTTCATCTTACATTATTGAGATAAAATTGTTCTGTTTAAAACTAATTTATATTCTTTTAAAATTTTACGAAATCTTGTTACTACTAATAAATCATGTATTAAAATAAATCTTAATTTCAGATCGCAGAAGTGGGTCTAGGTCCACAGCAACTCGCTACAGATCTTTTAACGAACGATTTGGCGAAGAACCGTTTGTTTGGTTTCCAACCGTATATTAAATACAGAGAGTTATGTTTCAAAAAATCGCTTAAAACTTTTGATGACTTACTTCAAGCTATTGATCCAGAGGTACGTAGACACTCATAATCAGTAATGTAGATAATCAATTGCTTTTACAATTGATTAAATTTATCCAGAATCCAGTAAAACTTTAATATTTAAGGGTAGACCAAAATACTAAATTCAAAACTCATTACTTAATATAAACCAATTTACAGTTTTTGGTCTATCTTGAATTTAGTTTTGTTGGATTTATAACACAAGAGTTGTTGTTTAAACTCTCAGATATACTTTTTGACAATCTTTGAAACTTATTACTACATTTAAAATCGACCCGAAAACCATCACCGTCATTGTTTGTTTTTTTTTTACTTCTTTTTTGCTTCTTCATTATCAGCCTGTAAAAGACCACTGCTGTTCATAGACCTCTTCCTTTGTAGAGATGATGTGCTTTCTCGTCATGTTTGGTAGGCAAAACTCCCGATACACACCATTTGGATACTTGGCGGTCCACCACTGTATGTTTAATTAGGAGTTTTCTTCCGCGTACGACTTTTCTGCGCAATAATTTACCACTGGCGATTTTTCCGGACCACTACGACTTAGGGACCTTCCATAAAGGAGCTTACTCCTTTTTAAAAGGCCAGCAACGCACCTGCAATTCGCCTGGTGTTGCAGTTGTTCATGGGCGGCGGTAGTCACTTACCATCAAGTGATCCGTATGCTCGTTTGCTCCTATAAAAAAGTTGGATTTACGATTGCATTACCCAATTTCTCGCATTTTTAACCCTACCATGCCTAGATTTAATTGAATGATATACCGCCATTGAAAGGAAGCTAAAAAATTTCTATGGCATTTCGCTTATTTGTCTCCTACAAAACTTACAAGACTAAATGTGGCGATGGCGCCTTTTACGCAACCACCATATTATTATATTGTTTTTCTTAAATTTATTACTTACGCAAAATTAAAGTCGGCTTTTTCATGTACTACTTTCGCCAAACCACTTACATTCTATGTATCTACTGTAACTAATATAATCTATAAACCTTGAAAAAAAAAAAAAAAAACATTAAACTAAACGCTGATGCTACTGTTACGTACCTAATTATATTTAAACTTAAAAGCAAACGCAAGAAAGAATAATAATTGAAACATCATTACAACCGTTTACATCAAAATAACGTGCGTGTTTCAGAGAGTCGAGCTGCTCAAAGAGGTTTATGAGAATGTGGAAGATATAGATCTAATGGCTGGAATTTGGCTCGAGAAACTGATCGAGGGCGGTAATGTACCACCTACTTTGTACTGCATTGTGGTGGAACAATTTCTTAGGGCTATCGCATCCGACAGACATTGGTATGAGCGCCCCAACCGACCGAACGCATTTACATGTGGTTTGTATGCATTTACATACTGTTTAATTGTAAGGTGTAGTTATAATAATTGTAAATAAAATTTTAACAAAGATTTAAAAAAGACCCCCAAAGTCTCTGACATATTTTTCTCTGAGAAGGTGTTCATAAACGCTTTAAACAAGTCTAAATTGAATAAAAAGTTTTTGACTTTGACTTAAAGACTTACCAAATAGTTGGACTATGACATTTAGTTAGATGATGTAATATTTAACCTAAAGCAGGTGCCAGATATAGCAACAACATTTGAATACTTGTTTGAAGTACTTTGAACTATTGTTTGAACACTTATTAGCGCAACCTGTCAGACATGCTATGCAAACCACAAATCTCCACAGTACATCGATAAACGACAAACAAGATGGAAGACGATTTTGTGGATGCAGTGTGCCTGTACTATTTAAGTGAATGTCATTATTTATTACACGTGCAAAAACAAATCTATCTAAACGGACATAAAACAGACGGGAATGGATGTGTTGTTAATATAATTACATACTTACATTACAAAGAGAATATTACATAATGTTATTTTTTACGATTGAACTTTCCGCAAGTGTGGCAGGTTTCGCAAACATTGAACACTATCCACTTTGAACACTGAACACTTATTTGAATATTGATTCAAAGTTCCGTGCCACACATAGCTTCAAAGAAGTTCAAATGTGTAAATCTATATCTGACGCCAGCCTAAGACAAGCACCAAGTTGCGGCTGTGTAAAACCAAAGTGATAGCTAGCGCATCTTATTTGCGACCAGCGAGCTGTAGGAATTTGGTGAAGGATAACGTGCGTGTTAGTAGATATAAATTCATTTTAATTTATCCGCCATAACTTTTATTTTCACTTTGTTAAATTGGCCCATGTTTTAGTCCAGGATATCAAAATCTTATACGAGTATAGTCCTTTGCAATTTACTAAGTCGAGCAGCCTTTACTTGTGGTAAAGATTTATCAATACGTTTGTGCTTGCGACTAAAACTGTTCGGGGCAAGCGGAGCAATAAGACCACAGCGACTTCTGTCACGCTATCCGTGATTTTCTGCAACATCAGGGGACATCATTCAAACCTTAACGTTGTCCACTACCATATGGAGGCGGCGAAACCGGCCTTGTTTTTTTTTTAACCGAGACTCAGGTGTCCTCCCCGGCCGATACTTCATGTGTCTCCTATCCGGGGTATGAATTAGAACACTCCTTTGTGCCTCGGGCTGGAGTTTGCGTTTATGTCAGAGAGGACATCTGTTCTCGACGCCTCGGCAGTCTTGAAGGTTCGGACCTGTCCATCCTTTGGCTACGCGTAGACAGCGACGACCATCCGCGCGTCTACGGTTGCCTCTATAGGTCCCATAGCGGTAATGCCGAAACAGACCGACTCATCGACCACGGCCAAATGGCTACAGATTCCTTGCTACAATAGGTCCCATCTGCAGAAATCGTGATCCTTGGCGATTTTAACGCCCACCACGCCGAATGGCTCGGTTCACGTTTAACCGATCATGCGGGGAGATCTGTTCATGACTTTGCCTTGGCATATGGGCTGATACAACTGGTTACTTCGCCTACGCCGATTCCAGATGTGGAGGATCATACACCTTCCCTGTTGGACCTTCTGCTGACCTCTCATCTGGACGGATATCAGGTTTCCGTCGATCTTCCCCCCCCCCTCTCTGCTCTTTGGACCAATGTCTGATCCGGAGTGTGGTGCCACTCATGCATGCGCGGTTGCGTTCTGCAGGTTGCCGCCGTGTTTGGCATTACAGGTCGGCGGATTGGGACGGAATGCGTTCTTTCTTTGCATCCTACCCATGGGGGCGGGTTTGCTTCTCGCCGGATGATCCCAGCGCTGTTGCTGACTCTGTCACTGTTGTGGTGCTACATAGAATGGAACTATTTATTCCATCATCTGTGGTACCCATCGGAGGCAGATCTCAGCCTTGGCTTGGTCGCTCCTGTAAGACTGCATTACGCAGTAAGCAGGAGTGTAATCAAGCCTGGGCTGCGGCTTCGGCAACTCGGGATGTAAACACCAGCGCACTTAAAAAGAAGTATAACTTCGCCTCCAGGTCCTTCAAAAGAGTTATTGCCAAGGCAAAGTCAGAGCACATAGGCAGAATTGACGAGAAACTAGTTCGCCTTCCTTTGGGAACCCGTGCATTCTGGTCTCTCGCCAAGGCTGTCCAAGGGAATTTCTATAAGAATTTCTTTAACTCACTGGTCCATGCCGCAAAAGACAAAGCCGACCTTTTAGGCTGCATTTCTGCGGCCAACTCGACTCTTGATGACGCGGGGAAAACACCGCCTACCATCCCACGGTGTGAGTGCTCCGTGCCAGATGTTCTCACAGCGCTCGGAACGCAAAATACTCCTCTCCTTGGATATCCAGAAGTCGAGTGGGCCTGACGGAATCCCCCAAATTGTGCTGAGGACGTGTGCTCTGCAGTTGGCACCGGTCCTAACGCGTCTTTTCCGGTACTCTTACTACCAAGGCGTAGTCCCGAATTCATGGAAGACAGCTTTTGTCCACTTGATCCCTAAAAAAGGTGACCGCTCAGACCCGTCCAACTATAGGCCTATCGCCATCACCTCCTGTTCTCCAAAATAATATAATCCATCATTAACTGCCAGCTCATGCGTACCTTGAGGATCACCAGCTGATTAGTGACCGCCAATATGGTTTTCCTCCGGGTAGATCAGCTGGTGATCTTCTGGTCTACCTGACTCATAGATGGGTGGAGGCAGTAGAGTCCAAGGGGGAGGCGTTGGCCGTTAGTTTGGACATTGCGAAGGCTTCCCGAGAAATTGTGCAATTGGATCACCAGCTTCCTTGCAGATCGGAGCATCAAGCTCGTTGTAGACGGTGCATGCTCCGACTACAAGCCTATTAACGCTGGTGTTCCACAAGGCTGTGTACTATCACCAACACTGTTCCTTCTGTTATCAATGATAAATTGCAATCTGGTAACATTCATTGCTATGCGGATGACAGCACTGGTGATGCTCTATATACCGGCCGTGCCAATGTTTCTCGGGGAAACGTCGCCGAGTAACGGAACAAACTTGTGTCTGTAGTCGAGTCTTTGCTGAAAGTCTCGGATTGGAGGCGACTAAATCTAGTTCAGTTTAATCCTCAGAAGTTTGCGCGTTTCCGCTAAAATATTTCCTTTGTCGTATCTCCTCAGTTTCAAGGCATTCCCCTTCTTGCCTCAGCCAGTATCGGAATCCTGGGAGTCGACATATCGAGTGACGTGCAGTTTCGTGATCACTTGGAAGAGAAGGCCAAATTGGCCCCTAAAAACTCGGCGTGCTCAGCAGAGCGGGACAGTATTTCATGCCGGCACACCGCCTGCAACTTTACAAGGTGCAGGTTCGGCCTCACATGGAATACTGTTCCCATCTCTGGGCAGGGGCTCCCTAGTGCCAGCTCCTTCCACTTGACCGCATCCAGCGCAGATCGGCTCAAATCGTCGACGACCGAGTCCTTTCCGATCGGCTCGATTCATTGGCACTGCGAAGAGATGTTGCATTCCTTTGAATTATCTTTCGCATCTACCACGGGGGGTGCTCTGGGGAATTGTTCGGATTAATCCCAGCCGCCAAATTTTACGAACTCACATCGCGGCCAAACTCCCGATACCATCCACACCATCTGGATGATTGGCGGTCCACCACTGTGCGTTTTAGAAGATGTTATCTTCCTCGCACGACTTCCTTGTGGAATCGGTTACCATCAGCGATTTATTCGGACCGATACGACTTAGTGACATTCAAGAAAAGAGCCTACTCCTTTTTAAAAGGCCGGCAACGCATCTGCAATTCCCTCCCTGGAGTTGCAGTTGTTCATGGGCGGCGGTAGTCACTTACCATCAGGTGAGCCGTATTCTCGTTTGATCCCTCTCCTATAAAAAAAATGCCTTTTGTACTCCGATGACCAAGTCATATTTGCATAGTCGGCGGCCGAATTGCAAATGATGGTTACTTTAATGAACTGGTCATTAGAAGAAAGAGGTATGAAAGTGAACGCAAGTAAGCCGAAAGTGATGGTTTTTGAAAGAGAAGAAAGTAAAACGTTATGTGAAATAAGAATAGAAGGGCAGTTGATTGAGCAAGTGGATGAGTTTGTATATTTGGGATGTTTATTTAGCGGGGATGGTAGATATGATTAGGATATAGAACGATGAGTGAACGCAGGAAATAGAGTTAATGGGGCTCTACACGCTATTATGAAGAGTCAAAATGTGTCAAAGAAGGCACGTATGGCAACTCATAATGCTGTGTTAGTCCCTACTTTAATGTATGGTAGTGAAAGTTGGGTCTGGCAGAAAAAGCATTAGAGTAGAATAAAGGCTGTAGAAATGCTGTCATTAAGGAGTATGCTAGGGTGAGAAATAGTGTGATAAGAGAAAAGTGTGGTTTGCAAGATGACGTTGTGACCAGGATTAAAGAAGGAATGCTTCGGTGGTTTGGTCACGTAAAAGGAATGAACGAGGAAAGAGTGACAAAGCAAATGTATGTTTCAGAAGTGAACGGCAAAGTCGGGAAGGGACGCTCTAGACGAAGATTTATCGACCAAATCGGCGATACATTTAAAATGGGCCAGATTAGGAGTACCCTTACCCGACGTGCGTGTATGCGTAGATATATGGATGGAGGCGAGAGAGGTGTGTCAGGATCGCGTCAAATGGAAGTCGGTAGTCTCTGCCTACCCCTCTGGGTGACATGCGTGAGTGTTTGTGTATTTTACCGGTGGGTGTAATAAGCGGCGACAGAGGAAAACTGAAAAAGGAGGTGGGTAGCAGTATTTCCTCATAATAAACGTACAATACCCAATTAAAAAACTGCGCATGCCAACATGCCTGCCAAGCGTGGCAACTATGGCAAAATCACTTACCCTTATGAGGTAATCTATCGGGATGACATTTGTTCAGTAGTGGACTTTTATAGGCTATAATGGAATATATTTACTAATAAAACGTTTTCTTATTTGCACCAGAACAACTAAAGGAGATTAGGAAAGCCACGGTGGCGCGCTTGCTGTGTGACGTCGGCGATAAAGTGACACACATACAACGTCGAGCGTTCTACAGGATAAGCCCAAAGTACGTACAATATAAACAATTTTTTTTTGGAATGTATGAATTTATTTTTGAGATTTTTTGCTAAAAATGTTCATTTGACGGCTCTTGGCTTGAGTGGTTGCGCTCGGGGCCGCGGATTCGAATCCCGTACGGAACAATTATTTGTATGGCCTACAAATAATTGTTCCGGGTCTGAATGTTTGTCCTCGTGCAGTTTATGTTTGTAAACTACCTCCACGATACAGGAGAAAATCCTAGTGGGGAGTTTTTTTCTTATAAAAAACGGTACTTGTGGGGGTAACCACACGTTTTGTTAAAAAATATATTAGAAATAATGTAGGAAAACCCTGTGATGGCGGTCTAATAATTTTCAGTCTCATCTTGTTGTAAAAAATTATGGGCCTCCAATAAATAACGGCACAACATGTACAGAACGAGTGTATTTATATGGAGGCGGCATCACATGTGAGCAATCTGGTACTGGACCATAAATCTATTTTCAAAGCAGCGTGATTACAACAGAACCTGTCTACGGAGGGACGAATACGGTTTCAACAATGATGTTCCGAATGACGTATGTAAATAAATCTACTATTGATTAATATCCCACCTGGTGAGATATGAAGCTCTGGGTGTTAATTTGCTCTACCTTAGCGTAACAGAAGCATATTCACTCATGCCTTGAAGATTCCAGACTCAGAAAGACAGACAGACGCTGGCATGGGAAATTATTCCACTTTATTGCTGTATACTCAGTACAAAAGATTACTGTTTATTTCGAATGCGTGAAATGTTGACAGCAAAGGGATGGAGACTCGAAGAGCATCTAGTTGTCCGATCGTGAAAAGGAGAGGGATTAAACCATGTAATTCATGCACACACTCACCGTAATAGAATATTGCTTAATATGACTTCTATTTATTTTCAGCAATCCATTGTGTAACTGCAACAACATTGATTTTGTAAATTTCTGGGCGTGGAAGGACCCGAAATGTGACAACCATGGTTCACAATTTAATGCGTGCCACAATACGGCGAAATTCTTCCAAGACCAGTATCTTAAACTGAAAACAGTTGAATAAGATACAATAAAATAAAAAAAATATTCAATTTTCTCACGTAACATATGGCATTTATTAATTAAGATTTTGTGTATTTATAAAATATATAAAACACTGAAAATGATAATATGTATAAAATAAATAAAAAACATGAAATTTTAATAAACATTGGTGCACAGTTATTGCATTTTTATTTAAACTTTATTTGTTTTTAGTTAAAATCCATTTCTGGCACTCAACTTATAATTATCAACGTTTTAAGTGGTGTTCAGCAAGTGACCAGCATGGATTAGTAAATTTTTTTAAATTAAAAAAATTATATATATATATATGTTATAGGATAATGGTGACAAACGAGCACATAGTCCACCTGATGGTAAGTGGTTGCTGCGGCCCATAGACATCTACATCTATCCTCTATTACAAATCAAAATGTAGACGCGTTGTCACCCGTGAGGACTAAGATGGAATGCCTCATTCCAGTAAAAAGCCTCTACTTCACGCTGGTTTTCTGTGAGGTCGTGGTACCACACCGGTCCGAGCCGGCCCATCCGTGTGACAGCTAAAGCTGCCGCGTGGCTCTACCACTGTTATGTATATATATATATATATATATATATATATATATAATATATATATATATATATATATATATATATATATATATATATATATATATATATATATATATATATATATATGTCGGAGTGTCTATAAAATACCCGGTTGGATCGAGGTAGAATGGAGGGTATATCGAGAAACCCCCTCTTGTGTCTGTAGTATAAAATTCACTGTAGGTGCCGTGCGCGGGAGAGTCCGCTTCAGTAATTCAACGAGTGTGGTCATTCTACTAGTGCTAAGATAGTGTCGTGGTTGTGTTCGTTGTTGTAATTCCTCTAGTGCAGACAAGGAGGATTGGTGTTGCTGAGAGGCTGCCCTGTGTTACATTGAGATAAATAGTATTGCTGTTGCTGTACATATTTTGGTGTTATCATGTAATTACGTACCTCACGTTACACTGGTGTGTGATTGTGGCGGAGACGTGTTACGGTATGGTCGAACTGTAATTTCACTATACTGAATGTATAGTGCGTTACGTTGTCTTATTACTGATAATTATTAAACTGCGTAAGCAAGAGAGCAAGTTGAACATCCGCTCTCACACTTTTATTATTTTTAACAATTAACGCTATCCTGATGCATATTTCCGATATCAGAAGTGGGATCTCCTGTTTGTCGTTTTCCGATATCAGAAGTGGGATAAAGTCCCTGTTACTGCCCACCTGTTATAACCTTTGAATAGTGTGAGGGTTATCACGTTGGTGAAATAGTATGATGCGCCTCGCGTTTTGTTTTTGTGTTTAATTTCTTAAATCAAGTTTGTTGTCGTATTTATGACACTTACGAATCATTAAAGTATAGAGTAAAAGTTTAATGTTAAATGTTTTAAGCCAAAAGTTAAACCTTTTTGTTCAATTAATGATAAAAAGTACCCGCAAGTACTTTCATTATTTCTAAACGTACCCAAATATGATAACAAATGTCAAAAGAAATGTTGGAGGTATTCTAAATGAGATATAGTTCGCATTCTGTGGAAGTTTAACTTGCTCGAGTTATGTTATAATTTGATACACGAGGTGTGATTTACATGGGATAATTTTAAAGTTCAAAATGTTTAAACGACGTATCGAAAAAAATGTTTAACTTTAACGTGCTATGAATTAAAAACACTAAGTAGTATTTTTGTGTTCTAATGTGTTGATAAGTGTTACAGTTTACTCCGAGTATTACGTAGTCGACAAAATTGGGATTTGATGTTGAGAGATTTTAGTGGAAGGCGTGGTGCTGTGGCGCTCGTTCTTAAGTGGAAGTAAGCTGTCTGCTTATGTCGCCGCGGACACATTAATTGTCGCTGCTACCGATCACCATTTGATACATGAGGGCCTCGTATGTGTGATGGATGAGAGAACAGGCAACTGTGTGCTCCTGCTGCTCTCGTTGACGCTTCGAGTGCGTGATGCGGCGCAGCGTTTCTCTGGCGCTGGTGCGGCGCGACGGCTTGCAGTGCGAGTGCGGCACGCCCTGTGCTGTTGTTTTGACAACAAAGGCTTGCTTCATGGCAGCTAAGTATGGCGTGTGCTGGTTTGTTTTAATAGTCACGTGCGATTGCCTTATGCCTGCCGCAGAGGCGAGCAGTGAGCGACGTGTTGACCTGTACTATGTGAGCAATCACAGCGGTGTGCTGATGAATACTGGTGAGTCGTACCCATTTTATTACGATTTTGGTGCCGAATGAGAGAGCCTTATCAAAGATTGTGTTGCGCCAAAATTTAGTGGCAAAAGTGAAAATAATATTGTAAATTAAACCGAAATCGGTCATGTTAGTGTGCAAAGTATCTTTTCACCCCCATGATCATGTGAGGAAGATCCCCGATCACCAAGTTCCTCGAGAGTTAGATGTCATAGTTGATGACAGTGGTAGTGAGACCAAATTTGATTAAGAATGCTTGTATACTCATACTCAAAACTTTAGACCGCACCTCATGAGTAACATGTGGCGATGGGTCTATAGGAAATCGTTGGTGCGATTTCTGTCTGTGTTGGTGCATATTTGGCGGCAGATATGTAGGGAATCGTTGGTGCGATTCTAGCATATATGGCGACAGATGTATTGTAGCATATTTGGCGGTGGATATGTGGCGAATCGTTGGTGCAATTCTGGCATATGTAACGGCAGATATGTAAAGAATCGTTGGTGCGATTCTGGCCTGTGTTGGTGCACGGAGACCCTTGTGTATTGTAGCATATATGACGGCAGATATGTGGAGAATCGTTGGTGCGATTCTGGCATATGTGACGGCGGGTATGTAAAGAATCGTTGGTGCGATTCTGGTCTGTGTTGGTGCACAGATTTCAATGAAAGTTTCACGAGTTGAATATGCATTGCTTATGAATTGTAAAGAGTAACAAAATTGTTAAAATTACTGTGTTGGAACTTGTTGATCGGACCTTCCACGATAAATCATGTTGTGCAGGGAGCACTGTGTAAGAAGCCTTAATAACAAGGCATTGTCAATTATGACAGTTGACTATTGTACTTAGACTTTGGAGAAGTGAAGTACTACTTTGAATCAACCTTGTTTCTATTGGCAGAATAGCCGAGCTAGATTAATCACTGAGCATATTTTGTCTCCAGGCACTGCAACCGAGGACGGATGCTGGTCACGAGTAGCCGTGTCGTGAATTGATGGCGCCATAGTGCGGCAAGTAGCGCCATCTAACAATTAGTTTTCCGAACTAATAATGTGTACCCACTCGTGTCAGGATGGACGAGCGGACGAATTTTTGTTTGTTACAGGAATGCATAAAGATACACGCCCGAGGACGGTCGTACGTCAGGATGGCCGTGTCGGAGTGTCTATACAATACCCGTTTGGATCGAGGTAGAATGGAGCGTATATCGAGAAACCCCCTCTTGTGTCTGTAGTATAAAGTTCACTGTAGGTGCCGTGCGCGGGAGAGTCCGCTTCAGTCATTCAACGAGTGTGGTCATTCTACTAGTGCTACGAGTAAGATAGTGTCGTGGTTCTGTTCGTTGTTGTAATTCCTCTAGTGCAGACAAGGAGGATTGGTGTTGCTGAGAGGCTGCCCTGTGTTACATTGAGATAAGTAGTATTGCTGTTGCTGTACATATTTTGGTGTTATCATGTAATTACGTACCTCACGTTACACTGGTGTGTGATTGTGGCGGAGACGTGTTACGGTATGGTCGAACTGTAATTTCACTATACTGAATGTATAGTGCGTTACGTTGTCTTATTACTGATAATTATTAAACTGCGTAAGCAAGAGAGCAAGTTGAACATCCGCTCTCACACTTATATTATTTTTAACAATTAACGCTATCCTGATGCATTTCCGATATCAGAAGTGGGATCTCCTGTTGTCATTTCCGATATATATATATATAACCAATACACAATTATTGCTTACAAGGGCTAAGCGATCGCTGTTAATTTTTCAGTACGCGAGCAATCCGGGTTTGATCGTTGCCGGCACCAATGATATTGTTAAATGTAATTTTTGTACTTATTTACCACGTGCTCGATTTGAAAGTAAATATCTGTTAGGCTACGTCGGTTGCACTGGTTATACTACGGGTATCCTCATTATGAATTCTATCACGCAGGGAATAATTAAGCTTCCTCATATTGCCACAAGTGAAGGATCACTTTTCAGATTCATATGTCATCACTGGCAACGTGCACTCTTATTTTCAAGTCATGAAGATTGCTTGACGGGACGGGATGATATGTCGTAATCTCCTGAAAACTGCCCAATCGAGTTGGATCTGCCGGTTGACATCCCTGTCGAAATAGATCTTACCTAGTCGATCAAATATATAATTAAACTCGTCTACAACTTCGTGCTGTTTTCGAGAGTCATTACGAATCGTCTCGCGCGCAGACTTGACGACTTCCAGCCTCCCGAACAAGCCGGTTTCCGAAAGGGCTTTAGCACCATAGACCACATACATACCCTTCGGCAAGTTGTACAGAAGTCCGAAGAGTACAATTTGCCACTATGTCTGACGTATGTGGACTATGAGGAAGCCTTTGATTCCGTCGAAATTTGTGCGGTGCTGCAGTCCCTTCAGCGGTACGAAGTTGACTGTCGGTATATCGAAGTGTTGAAGTGCTTGTACATTAGGGCTACGGTGGCTATCCGAGTACAGAACCAGAGTACGAAACCTATCCAATTGCAGAGAGGTGTAAGACAGGGTGACGTCATATCCCCGAAACTCTTCACCGCTGCATTGGAAGACGTTTTCAAGCTTCTGGACTGGAAAGGATACGGTATCAACATCAATGGCGAGTACATCACTCACCTTCGATTTGCCGACAATATAGTCCTTATGGCAGAATCGCTGGAGGGCCTAAGCACTATACTCAATGACCTCAATAGTGTTTCCCAACGGATAGGTCTTAAGATGAACATGGACAAAACAAAGATCATGTTTA